GCTACGGGTCGATCTTTCCGGCACTTGGGATTTGGCACTCCCAGCCCCGAGGACAGACAACACTTAAGCTCCTGTCCGGTATAACAGGAGCTTTCAGACTAATTTGCATCATCTTGTCTTGACTTGTCTGACTTTTGTTCCTTTTTCGACTTCCAAAAATTTGTCTTCACTTTATTTGCATATCAATCAACAGGCTGTGTATATAAACCTGCTTTCCCCTCTGGTCTCTCAGTCACTGACGAAAGCTAGTGGATACTAGCTGAAACGTCTGACGTTTTCAAAATCATATCCAGTTGCTTGAGTAACTGTTTTTTGGCTATTACAAAAATATTCTCCTTTAAATTTGTATCAGTGAGTTGCATAGTGAGTTGCATAGCTGTGGACCAATTCTTGACTTGGCAGAGAACAAATATCACTAAAAACAGTTGTAGATATTGTAGGAACATAATTAAACATTGCATGTAACTATTCCATATCTAAAGCTACACAATACAGTTCCATCATAAATATACATAGAGCATACATGTACATTTGATTTCGCTTTTCAATTATGCTTTTTAATTAGAAAGTAGACATTAAATCCAGGGATAACAAATGCCAGATCACATGCAATGTGCCACCTTTCAACCAATTTCTTATCTAGAAAATTATACAAATTCATTATCAATGATAACATATTATATAAGGGTTCTGGAGAAAATTTGTATTGCTTGGTTTTTATGTGTTTTCAATTCAACATATTCAGTAGGGTATCGAATCAATAACTAGTTGAATAAACATAAAAATGAAATAACATCTTGAATATAATCAGTTTGCTATATGGATTATAGTGGGAGGCATACAATAAGCTAATTACCATACAAATGTTAGTTAAATATTTTCATAATTGACTACTATCAGTCGTAAGTTACCAAATCTGACATATATGTACATCTTCTATAGGCTTCATCATACAATGCATATTCATCTGTCTAATATATACATTGTACAAAAATGTAGTATCATTCTGGCATTTCAACACCTTCTTATGAAGTTTTATTTCTGCCAAAAAAGAAATCCCTTGGGTGCATACCCTTGTCTGCCCTTCAGCAAGTATTACAGAATGTGTGGTAAAAATTGGGTCTGATGCAGGTTCAGGACCAGGATTTACAACCCTGCCCTTCAGCGTCCATAGTAATGACCTTCTCCCAGCCATGCCATGATAGATTTCCTGGGACTATTGAAGCTTTCACTGTGGATTAGTTAAATACAGTGCATGACTACTGCCATGGTCATCAGGACTAGCTTAGACCTATCATGCAAGGAGCAGGGAAGGGAGGAAGAAAGAGGGGTCGGTGGTGGAATAGATGGGCCATTGCGAGGTTTAGTACACTGTAAAACATTAGACTGACAAGGGTGGAGAAAATGGGAATGTTAAATGAAAAAAAGCTGAATTCAGGAAATGTGCAAAACAGTGAAGCCATCCCCATCTCAAGGAAGGAATCTTAGAAATGTCCAAATTCTAGTCCAAAATCTAGCCCAGTGGACCAGTAGCCCTATACAAGGATTGTTATTGCTTGCTGAGAAATTCCCATCATACCATAACTAAGTAATGGCTCCCGAGGAGGACCCAATTTGTTGAGAGTAATGAGGTATGAAATAGGGCAATGTGTTAGTGGATAGGGCACCAGGAGGGAGTCTACTCATCATATGCAGGTGTGACACCAAGGCCAGAAGAATTGCTCTTAAATAAACACTGGGAAGAAAAAGCAGTAGTGGGTGGTTTAGATATATTGCAGCTAGAACAATACATCTAAAGGTTAACCTAGAGTCACCCATCCACCCATGAAGTGTTCTGTAACATTATAGGTATGGGTGGATGGGTGTTCAGTACCAAGGTCAGGACTCTATGGGAACATTCAGTACCAAGGTCAGTGCTCCAGATTAACATTTAGAGACATTTAGAACACTTAATATAATAGGGATGGATGAGCATTCAGTACCAAGGCAAGGACTCTAGGTGACCTGTTAGTACTAAAGCACACTACAGAGATGAGTGGTTGTTCAGCACCAAGGTCAGGGTTCTTGGTTAACATTTAGTATTATAGAACACTACAGAGATGAGTGGGTGTTCAGCACCAAGGTCATATATGGTTCTTGGTTAACATTTAGTATTATAGAACACTAGCTACAGAGATGAGTGGGTGTTCAGCACCAAGGTCAGGGTTCTTGGTTAACATTTAGTATTATAGAACACTACAGAGATGAGTGGGTATTCAGTACCAAGGTCAGGGTTCTTGGTTAACATTTAGTATTGTAGAACACTATAGAGATGAGTAGGTGTTCAGCACCAAGGCCAGGGTTCTTGGTTAACATTTAGTATTGTAGAACACTACAGACATGAGTGGGTGTTCAGCACCAAGGCCAGGTCCCTAGGCTAACAGTGTTACAGAACACTACATGGATAGATAGATGTTCAGTGCCAAGGCCAGGCCTCTACAGTAGGTTAACATTTAGTGCTATAGAATTCTACAGGGATAGGTAGGTAGGTGTTCATGTCGGGGCTCTAGGTTAACCTATAGCACTATAGAACATATAGCATCATGTACTAAAAACAGAATTGATATATTGAGATAACACAACATTGTGGCTATAGTAGACAAAGACTTACCTACATGTAAATGGACACAATTGAAAACACCTTACCTGCATCTTCACAGCTATTAACACTGATGTGAGATCTGTTTCCAGGGGTTTGAGCACAACCAGTCTGGTCAGGGTCAGGCTGCATAACCTGCACACACACATGGAGAATAGAAGTTTTAACATCTGAGGCCAGCATTCTGCATGTTTCTCAAAGGGTAACTTGACTGGAGCAGCACTGGTGGAAGCTAATGAGAATGGACACCAGCAGTTATATGATCCACCACAGTGGCACTGCAACTCAGAAAAGGATGATCTTCAAGCTTGTGCACCTCTAAACATTGTGTACATGCATATTACAGTCATGACACAATTACTCCATTCTCATGACAACAGTTTCTGACAAATAACTGGGCAACTATTAGGGTTCTTTACATGTTATATATGTTCTTTACATTCTTCGTCTTACACTAAAATGTACATTTGTAGTTATGCACCCAAGAAGTGTAGCTTTTTCTGGCTCCTTCTGACATTAGGTACAAGGATGAAAAGTTATCTATCATTAAATACATGTAGTTTCAAAACCACGTTCACATACAGCTCCATGGCCACCAACGTGTACCAAATTGCCACAAATGACTTCAAACTACTATCTCTAGGGAGAAGACCACAACAAGATACTTTCCCTACCCGTTTTGTTTCAAGAATAACTTCCATCGGTGAGGCTCCTTTCTTTGAATCCTCCACGGGGGAGCCATGACATAGCTACCGAGCATAACACATTGTTTTATCGCTCTACCTCATTCACCCGAACATCAAAGTCTGTCCACAGTACGGGCTGTGTGCTAGCGTTAGTGATAAAACATCCGCTCGCCCGTTCATTTCAGACCAAATGCACTGAAAATTGCTTCAAAGTGTTTTTCGGCATTGCGGCAAGGCATCACATGATCCACGTGTGGTTATACAGCGTCAGGCATTAGCAGATAAAGTGATTTTACCTAGCCTGCCAATCGATTTTTGCACAAGTCAGCAAATATATAGAAGTCACAGAGTGTTCTTCTTATTGCATTATCATTAATTTATATAATAGGTTAACTGCCTTTACTATTGGTATAATGTAAAGATGTACTTTTTGTGGCTACAAAAACAGGGCCATAAATGCTAATACTATTTAAGTTTATCAACCAAAAATCTATAATCGAAAACTCTAACATCTATAAGACTAGAAAATCTGAAATTATTTTTTGCTTTAAACTTATTAAGGTATTCTTCTTGTACGTTATGACATGTCTGCAAGGAAATAACATAATGTTACATTCTGATGGCCATAAAGATCATGAACTTAAAGAGCAATTTTCTACGACTCATAAATATATATCTTCACAAACTGACACTACTCATTTGCAATTTTATCCAGCAATACCAGACCAATGTCATCTCTTGCCGCCACTACAGTTCTTGTAAACACATTATCCATCCAATTATCTTGTAATTTCGGGTAAACCACTAATGATTATCTGATTTCCCCTTGTACATGTACCATTAACCTATTTTTCCGTTACAGAGTAGTCCTAGTCTGTTCGCCATAACCTGAATCGTTAGGAGATAGGAAGTGCAAAGTACCAGAGATGACCTCTCAGTGCCCGCAGCCCCGTTCTTTGATCTACACATCAAACTGCTCTCTTTGCGAGATGCGGATAAAACCTCACGTATCTGTGATTTGTAACTGACATTTCAGATGCCCTTGGGAATACAGCTATCCAACACATGTAGCTGTTTGAAAGTTCGATACTTTAGAAGAAATGACCATGGCAGTGCTTTGCTCGTGATTTCGGCGTACTATAGTGCGTCAGCAAAAGTTTTGTAAATGCAAAAGTCAAAGTCATGGCACTCAGAGTCAGAGCTGCAAAGGTCAAAATCAATTATCTACAACTAGTATGTAACGTTACATATATAGCCAAAATAGAATTTCACCTGCATTTTTGCCTTTAACTTTTAAGTGGACACTAAAGCCTTAGAAGATAAGAATTCTCAGTAGGGCTATCAACTCAACTACGTACATTTACTGTATCACTGTAAAGGGAATATCAAGACACAAATGCTCCAATAACTTTATTGATACAGTACCGACTAAACTCTCTCAGTTATTTTCAAATTCACAGTCTCATTTTGAAAATAATTGCTTACAGGTACGAGGAAGTAGAAATAGCCTATTAGTACACAATTGCTTCTTAAAGTTAAATGTCCATTGCTGGTGGTTTTGCATACAAATTAGTCACATACAACTTACAGTTACAAGCTATCTTTTCCTGTTATTTCTCCATAATTCTGTTTGAGAGTTACATAAGATTACATTCAATGGGTGTTGTGTGTATTTTTTAATTTTCTGCAACATAGTCAGGGCTTTTTAGGTCAATCTAAGCCCAAAAATACAGTCACTGAAGCGTTCTAACATCAAAACTAGTATATAACCTTAGAAGTCTGCTCATGTGAAAGAGGACTCTTATTCAAGTAGGCTCTCAACAAATCACCAGACTGAAAACAGCACCATATTTGGTTACCACTGCCTCAAGTATTTGTATACATGATGAAAGGGCTGCCACTTTGCCTAAGTAGAATTTAGCTAAATATAGCTGGAAAAAGCATGATTTAAAATACTGGAAGATGATAAAGTAGTTTTGTCAGCATTTACTTATTATCCTGTTTTGAAAACTTCAGCTAATCAAACATACCAAGACCTTCATGGTTGTTTTTATGTAGACCTAAACATGTTTTCATTAAATCATCACAACAGTTTGTAATTGCATTGTACATGACATCCTAAAAAAAGTGAATTAACTAAATGTAAGTTATAACATAGTGAAACTGATATAATACTAATCATAACAGGTGGCATTAACCATCTTCTAGTTAAGGTGCTTATATACATGTAGTATTTTTTGTCACCAAATTTATAATTAGTTACAGAGATACACAGCACTGATAAGGTCAAAATCTATGAATTGGTTTAACTGCACTGATTTATGCACTCATCCGATATGGTGCTTGGATCTGCCTTCAGTATATAGCAAAAACAGCTAGATGTTCAATTAGGCCCGATTCACATGATTGAAAATAAAAGTGTCGGGCGTCGTTCGACGCGCGCGCGCGCCAAGTCACCTACGACACTTTCCCGTTTACACACAGGGACCGCAGCTCCCGCTTCGCGCCGCAGCTGTTGCGGGCTGTGGCAGTCTGCGTGGCGCTGTGTCACATGTGGTGAACCCAAAAGTTTCCATTTTGCTCTGAATTCTGTCACAGTTCCACAGCCCGATCAAACAGCGCGTTTCAGCGCTGGTCCAGTTAGATCTGTTGACTTCTGCCATGCTCAGCAAACAAGCAGTAATGCTTTATATAATAGCAAACAATCCGTACAAAATAATCCGAAGAAACAACTAACAACAAGTAGATATTGATACAGAAGTGGAATGAATAGATACAAACAGTGGGGTCGTGTGGCGTAGCGGCAGCGTTCTCGACTCGGAACCAGAGGCCCCGGGTTCGAGTCCTGACATGCCACCGATCACAAGATGGGAAAGGCACTTTACACAACTTTCCTCACTTCGCTCAGGGGTAAATGAGTATTGTACTGTCCCTGTGTTGGTGGCGGCATTAATATAAGTTGAAAAAACTTGAGTGTGTCGTCACCACGTCTTGTGATTACATGTTTCGGAATATATATAAATAAAAAAATAATAAAAAAAACAGAGAAGCGTGGCGTGGGTTTCAGGCTAGCGCGGGAATGAAGAAATTTGACCTTCTGTCATGCGAAAATGGGCTGCGCGAGCTGCGCGCGACGCAGGTCTGTTTACATGATGTTTTTCCTCGCCGCAGACATCCCGCTGTGTGCCGCGATGCACTTGTGGCACCTCCTGAAGGTGCCACAGAAAAAACGACACAAGGCGCCGCGCGGCGGTGGTGGGCCTGTTTATACGATTGAAACATGTGTCGCGCGCGTCGAACGACACCCGACACATAAAAACGACGCACGTGTGAATCGGGCCTTAATCACTTACATGTCATTAGCTAAGCACAACCAGCCCAGCATAACTGATAACAAAAGCATGTATCTGTTGTGTATGTTTTATTTCAAACCTAGCTGTCCGGGTGCCATGGTCCATAGGGAATAATCAAACTGTCACAATAACGGTGCTCGTCAATGTAATTAATCATGTGCCAACTACCCTTCTGTTTTGACCATTCTTATGGCAGGCAAAGGTCACCAAGGAAAAAAAGGCAAAAACTTCCTTTCTGATTCTACTGGGTCATGTCCCAGCATAAGTAAATGAATTTAGAAATTTGTGACCCATATATACATGAGATGCGAATGTTAAACATACATGTATAATCCTGCTGCCTTCGGGTAACATTTGAAGCTATATGTAAGTTCCCAAAAAAGGCCAGCAGACAGATACATGTC